CGTTTCCGCGCCGCCCCCGCCATTGGTTGCCCACCCGTCGCGGTTGCCTGCGGCTATATCACCCGTCGCGGTTGCCTGCGGCTATAACCCGCCCATAGGTAATGCTTCGTGCTGCAAAGAAGATGTCATATACTCCATATGCGACAAAGCTTAATACTAAAGCGTACATAAATCAAATCATTTTATTAACATTTTAAATTTTTTCTTTTAAAAAATTTAAAAATATTCAATCAAACATGTTTTATATTTTTTGTTGTTAAAAATATATTAATCATTGCAGTGTCAAATATATTTTTTAAAGTAGAAAATAAAATAAAAATGGAACAGACTAAATATAAAAGCAAAAATAAAAAAAAAACAGAAATTGCTCTCAAATAGACCTTAAATGATTATTTATTGACAATTTAATTTTTGAAAGTTAATATTATTAAAATTTTCATTTTATCTTTTGTATTATTTTTAATATTTTGTTTTATGTATATATTTTTTACTAATTCTTTGTAATAGATATCTAGTATCTGTGTCTGTATCAATGCAATATACAACCACAATCTTTTATAAGGTTAAAAACTGTCCAAACTGCAATTACTCAGCTTATGCACCTTAAAGCCTTACATGATTGTATGGGAATCATGTTTAGAATTGAAAAAGAAATACGCCTCACACTGCAGCTGCATCGAACTGCACCATCTAGGAAGTGTGAAAGCGTTGTGGTGAAGTTGGAGTGGCTGTGATTGGGTAATTAAAGTTCACCCACAGCAATGAATTCTTGGAACCACTCGACTCGTCTTTTATTTTTTGAGATGGGAGCAATGCCACTCTGTTCCACCTGCAACATAAGCTCTTCATGTTGTGATAGAATTGCCAGAACTGATTACCTCTATTTTAGTTTCATAGCTTGTTTAAACGGCTGAAAGCCCGACTTAAAATGAGAAATGCTACATTAATATTTAACTTAATTTTAAAATTTTCAGATTAAAATGTAAAATCTTAAGACAGGTTTATTGTGCAGCATCAATGAAGTTATTCCACCTAGGAAGATTTCAAAGAAAGATTGGTCATTTTATTTTATTAATTTGCCCCAATGGACTGAATAAAGAAAGTTTGTAGCTGCGGTTGAAACGCAGGGAGTCCAAACCTTCAGGTGGTATTTAAGTACTGATGGCAACTTTTTTGCGGTTCAGAAGATCATCAATCTGATTTTGATGATTAAGATTAATTTCTCTAAAACTTTTGAAAATCATGCTGCTTTTAACAAGTGACGGCATTGATTACTGCACAACCATGGCAAATGGAGAGTGTCCGATGTCCTACAAATGATTCTGTTATTGTTGGGGGAATTTACAGGAAGTGTATTGTCAAGTTATTACTCTCTGGTTAACATTCCAGTCTTAAATGTAAGCGAAGCGTTTGTGGGGCTACTAATATCTCCAGATTTTCAGAATGCTAGCATGAGCATGGTAAAACTTGTAGCTTATTTACTCTTAAATGGCGTGGTGGATTTTCCACGCTTGAAAATACATTAGATTATATATTAACTCTGGAAGAAGTTGATGGATTTCATAAACAAAATTTTGTCTGCGTTTTGGAACGCATATTTCTTTTTGCCTTTTTAATGGTGCGTTCAACGTTCTTTGGATGGCCTATCATTCTCAATAGTATGGAGCAGACAGGCGGAATTATTAAAGCTAAGAAACATTTCCTGTTTGCTTGAATAAAATAAATCCCCAATTAGAAAAGGCTTGATTTTCTTTGACATCAATGGAGAAGCTAAAACTTTCAATCAGAAAAAAAAAATAATTCAGCTTTCATTAGATAAACTTAATGAACAGTACTAAATATATAAAATTAGCTCTGTATGTTACATTTTATTTCATTGATTTTCTTTGACATCAATGGAGAAGCTAAAACATTCAATCAGAAAAAAAATAATTCAGCCTTCATTAGATAAACTTAATGAACAGTACTAAATAAATAAAATTAGCTCTGTATGTTACATTTTATTTCATTATGTAAGTGGCAAGATTCATTTGTGACGCATTTGGAAAATTGTTTGGGAAAGATTTCATCTGACATTTCTTCTGGAATCGGGCTGCCTCTTGTTGCATGCAGAGATGAAGATTGATAGTTCATGGAGGGTTGGTGAGGCTGAGAGCAGCAAGGAGCTTTCCATCCAAGCCCAACGCATTCGAAGGGAGAAGGAGACGTTTTATTCATCTGAACTTGACATCCCACCCGATCCTAAAGAGCCATGGGACGTTGAAATGGACTTTGATGATAGCCTAACTCCAGAAATCCCAATTGAGCAACCTCCAGATGCTGATGCTGCTGAAGAATCCACTAACCCTCCTGTCGAACAAGCCATTCCTGAGAACCCTCCTGCAGCTGTGCCAGCTCTCCCTATGGCCTCTTCCGGCATTGCGGCAGAACCTGACCTTGAGCTACTTGCTGTTCTCCTGAAGAACCCAGAGCTTGTCTTTGCCCTCACCTCCGGGCACGGAAAGAACCTTACCAATGACGAGAGGGTGGCACTTCTTGATATGATCAAGCACGGCAGTGCTGCAATCAGTGGTAATGTTAATGGGATAAGCAGTAGTGCATCTCATGAGAAGCCCAAAGAGCCGGTGCCAATGTCTCTGCCATCTCCAACTCCACCATCAGATGTGGAAAGAATGGTGTGTTTCCAGTGCCTTTCTTCTCTTCTGCGTTTCTTATTTGTTCCCGCCATGCTCATTCAAATTTTGATTGCTTGCAGGCTGGTTGGAGGTCAGCATTCCCCCCCATGGCCAAAGCTCAGTTGCCGCAATTGCACTTCTCTGGAGCGGTTCTTCATTCAATCCCCACTCTAACCCCAACTTCTACCCCTGCTCCACTCCAAACCTTGATGGCATTGCCTACTCAAACTGAGCTGCAATCTACCATTCTACCAATGTCTCAAGTGATAATCAATGCAAACACTGCACCTCAATCCGTTGCAGCAAGCAGTTTAACTTCTCAAAGGGCAAGTCATGCCTTACCCCAGCATATCCTGTCCTTAGGCCATGCGGTTCCGCAAAGACTGAATACTGAACCTTTCTTACCATCCAAAAACTATACTGTAAGCAGCTCACCAAATGCGGCTGCTTCCTCCACACCGGCAGCCCTTCGCCGGGATGCTTACAGCCGCAAATCTATCCTGATGCCCAATGTCTCCTCCCTTCCCTCCCATTCTCCACCCCGAGGGAGGCCACAATCACAAATGGTATCTGACCCGTCAGTAGCAGCTATTCCTCCCAATCCTACATCATTGTCACATCGCGATGCCCATACAGAATGGTGCGAGTGGCGAGACGGGATGCCGGAATCCTGGACTCGGCGACCACCAGATGCAGATAATTTTTCATTGCAGCAGAACCCACGCTTTGGTTCTAGTGTTGGTATTTACGAAGATATTTATCGGTCGCATCAAGGTCGATCAACAGGAAGAGAAGAGATTGTTGGCAGATCCAGAGATTCCGAAACTTGGAGTACTGAAAGAATCCATGTGAAATCATCAGAGTTCAGGCATGGACACAGCCGGAGCCATGTGGAGTCTAGGAGGGCACAGGGGTGGAATCAGAGTCAGGATTGGTCGAGGCAGCGGAGTTCTGGGCATCGTGATCAGTATCGTCCGAGCAGTAGTAGTGGTGGAAGGTGGCGGGATCATGATCGAGATCGAAGGAGGTAGTTTTTATTGGTGTATGATTTAGTTGTTTGGCAAGTCTTTCTTCTTACTTGATGAGATTGTATGCTCTCAGATGGAGTAGATGATTTGTATAGGCCTTCTAGAGTAGCCACATGTTTCTAGCAATTATAGGGATATGAGGGATACAAATTTTTGAATTGAATTCATTCTCCTTTTACAGGATTGAGAGCATCTTCTACCTGGTCATTTTAACATTCGTATTTGAGGCAAATTTCAGGGTTATTTAAGACTGGCCATTTAACTCGAAAATAATACGAAATTTAGATGCTATTGTTTTCAATTTGAAAAACGCTGCAACAACAATAACAAGCCATTATAATAAGCAGGTTTTGCAATTTGACAAATGAGAAGGAAAAATAATAAAGGAAATTTCTCTATTCTCATTTTCAAGTGGGTCTGCAAATTCTGTTTTTAGATTAAGTTTTGGCTTTGAGCTCACAATAAATTTGAGTGGCGCGACTTTGAAGTGGACTAGCATTTCACTAGGATGGAACTCTAATCGAGCAAACATTGGTTAAGGGACTGATGGGGATAGCTTTTTGTCTGCTTTTTTTTTTTTTAAGACCGTCACTATAATTTTGTTTGGGTGATTGCTTTCTTGTTATTTTTAAAACAATTATGTGATAGAAATTTATTTTTTCAAGATGTGTTGCTAAAATGTGGTGGCTACTAGGCATCTGCGGTATGATTTTTTGAGAATAAAAATAAATTTTTAATGACTAACATAATTTTTTAAATAACAGTTTCTTCTATAACAGCTTCACAACTAATCTTTCAAACAAGTGCAGTTGCCCCCTACAAACCCTAAATGTTCCTTGAATTCGAAATAAAGAAAATGTGTATTTTTAAATGCTTGATTATTATGTTTATGTGACTTTGATTATATTCAAAAATTTTGATTTTTGACATGAATTTTAATTAGATATATTGGTTTTTGTTGATGTTGAGAGTGCTTTTAATGAATCTGATTGATCATATTTAATTCAATGATTTTGATTGCTGACTAATTTTATGCACAGTTTTGGAAGCTAAATGGGCTGTTTGTAGCGCCTCTAATAGTTGCTCTTGATTTATGAATTTTTCTGATTGATCATGTTTAATTCAATGATTTTGATTGATGACTAATTTTATGCACAGTTTTGGAAAGGGCTGTTTATAGCGCCTCTAATAGTTGCTCTTGATTTATGAATTTAGTTAGTATTAATTCAGCCAAATAATTAAATGTAGGCATCTTAGATTCGGAGTCTTTGAATTAAGTTCTTTTCATTTTTCTACTAAATCCGGATCTATTAAATTCAGTAACTCAAGTATTTGATAAATTTGGATTTATAAGATTTACTAAATCCCATTCAAGTTAAAATCTGACTGCAACCACCTCTTTTGCAAATATTTATTAATGGCAATATGCGATTAAAAGGATTTTTTGGAAACTAATGGCCCATTTGGGGCAGCTTATAAGTGCGGGTAGCGTTTTCAAAATGCGGCCTCATCTTTTGGAATACGTGTTTCAGCAGCTTATCCAAAAACGCGGTTGAGTTTTTACACTAAACACAGACCGTGAATCAAACCCCGCAGGTCACTCGCGGGTCGCGTTACAAGATAAGCTACTTATCTTGATAAACACAAGCTGCCCGAAACAAACCCTAAGTTTTACATACATATCACACAATTTTATGTGTTTACTTATAAAATATTTAAAATTTTAATATTTATTTATGTGACACTTTAATTTCAGACATTAAAATATACATATGAAAAATATTAATCATATTTTTAAAATGTTGTTAAGAAATTGTGTCATGTCTGTAGATATCAAACCTTAATTGTTAAGTATGTAAACACACACACATATCATGCTAATTTTAAAATCCAAGCCATCAAATAAAGTCAAACCCGTTGACCCGATGGCTTAAAAATTGGCGGCTTGATTTTATGCTGAGAGTAAATAGCACGTGTTATTATTGAGTCGCTTAGAATAAGAGAGAAAAAAATGGAATGAAAATGAAACTTCTTTGGCCGAGTAAATTCCTGCGGATTTGTTGCTTGAGAGCCGTGAATGAATCTAAAATGTCTTCTGTGATTGGACCGAGTTGCTTCGCCTAATAAAAAATGTTTTAAAACACTGAAATGAAACTTCATTGAGTGTTTGATGAAGGATGCACATGTATTACTCATTTAAATAAAATACAAAAAAGATGCTTCTTGTAACCAGTATCTTTTAATTAGTACTGATATGCTGCAAACAAGTTCACATGATTAGATATGAATCTTGATGCACTTAAAACTAGATAATTTTCAAAAGTAAATTTATGATCACTTGATGTTAAATTCAAGTGTCTCCGAGCATGCCCATGGAATAGAACGTGGGGACTGATGGAGAGAAATAAGAGAGAGGAAGAGAGGGAGAGGGAGAGGGAGAGGGGAGACTTGTGCGGTTGGGGTGAAGATGGGTGTTCCTGGGTTCGTTGGCCCCTTTATTTCACTAGAAAAAAATGATTATAAGAGAGGGGAAGAGGAGAGAGTTGCGGGAGGAGAGCCCAAGAGCCTCTAATAAATGTCATGTTTTCCTATTTATGGAAGATAAAAGAGAGAATTATATAATTATCTTGCTTTAAGGAGGGTAATAGATGTTATTCTAGTCTTCTTATTAAGACAGTTAGATTGTCTCAAGATAAGTGCAGGTCTTTTTTGGGTGTGCATGATACTTCATGTTAGGCGCTCTTTGTACTTCATTCCGGCAACTTTTGCACCATCTTATCGGCTCCGAAGCATTTCCCTCTGAATCGACACTTTGGTTGGTGCTTGGTCCTTGGTCCTTGGCAGCATAATATCTTCTTTTAATAGATTAGTTGCTGAATGAATCTCCATAATGATTGCCCATTACTCCTCACAAAGCTTGTCACTATTGAATTGGGGATCATCTCCCGGGATGAGCACAATTCTGATGTGTAAATAGAGGGATCGACATGGCTATCTTGACGTCTAGGGCCGACTATTATAATTTTGTGGGATTGGCTGAATGATCTCCCGGGACTAGCACGGTTCTAATGTTTGATGTGAATGGTTTTTGTTAATCATTTAGTCTTTTTCAGTGCCTTGATGTTGATGTGACAATTTTAGTCTATGTGAGTTTAGTAGGTCAGCATTTGATTTTGCATTCTATTCTTGTTGATGCTTCTTCTTTTCCCTAGTATTGTGGGTTTTTGCTCCTTGGAAGGTTATTTTTTTTTGCTTGGATTGCTGTTTGGTGCTGCTTGTTGGAGATGCACTATTGATGAATTACTAGTTGGTGGAAGTTGATCTCTATTTCTATTTGTGTCTGTTCATAGTGATTTTTCTTAGTTGCTTCTCTTCGAAGTGACTGTTCATTTGATGTTTTTTCTTGTTATCTGCTGTTTAGTTATATCTAATCTATTTTTTTTTGGTTGCTTTTTAATATATATATAT